CACAGGTTTTGATTGGTTCTTCCGCCGCGATGCAGTAATTCATATTATTTTTCTGTTCAGTTCTTGATAATGAACTTAATTAAACACGTGAAACAGGATCAATGATCTGTATCTTTTAGAGCTGAAACGATGAGTCGTTTAATTGATGAGTTAATCCACAGAAAACACAGTTTAACCAGTTGATGAATGTGTTGAAGTTATTTAGAGGGCAGCAGACTCCCGTTCAGGGGATCAATTGATTGGTCAATATGTTCCCTCGTCCAAATTAAATTCATAATGAGAAAAGCGTTGCATCAATAACCTTCCAGGATTAATCCATTCGTTTCGGCGGAAAAGAGAGACGAGCCGGTTTCACAACTTTAAACTCAGGTTCAACTTATTCAACGTTTACTGGACGTCACCACGATGTAAAGTAAAAGACACAAGATGTCCCCCCTGTGGCTGCGTTTTGATTTTGTTGACTACAGCCTTAGGAATTTATGAAATATCAAATATAACAACAAATAAGAGAAGTCTTAAATTGAACTTGTTGTTGATGAAGTGTTAAATATGAGGAGGTCAAATGTATTTGAGCCTCATGGAATTCATGTTTTTTTTTTTTTAATTAAGAAAGAGAATCTACGGAAAAAACGTACAGAACCAATTTTCTGGAGACTTAAACATCTACGATCAATCTAGAGTCTCTTTAATTCACCCCCATCTGCACGAAGCAGGACTTTAATCACGAACTGTCTCCACCGCACGACCTCGGTCTTATTTTAACAGAAGAAGACAAATAACTGAAATGACATCGTCCACAAAGCAGCTACAGGAGGAACGAGACTCGAATCAATCAACGGGTTCAATCAATACTGAAGCTGAATCACGGTTTGTGTCGGCAGTTAAAATGTGATGTGTAAATGTTCCCATGGATTTACTGCACCATATGCTTCATCGTAGCTGTGAAACGCTTCCTGACAGCCACAGAGACCGAGGACCAGTGAGACGTCTCACAGATTCATTTCTCCGCTCGTCCTCAAACCGCAGGGCCGCCGCGAAACCACTTGGAATATTTCTTTCAAAAAGATGATCAACTGTATGATCAGTCGGTCTGAAGCAGGCGATAATTATTCCCTGTCCCGCTGAAACAGTGGTGTGATGTTTGTTGGTGGCGGCTGCGGAAGGCGTAAATTAAACATAATGTTTTGCTGTACGTGCGCAGCAGTGGGATGTGGTCCCATCTGTTGAAAGCGGGTGATACGACGCCTCGCAGATCGAGCTGCACCTCCCTCTCAGCCAACTGGAAGGTGTCGGCCCAGCGACGGGCTTTTTCAGCTCGCCACGCGCCAGTGGTACGCCGCTACGGGCCGATGAGTAACCGCTCGGTAAATAGTTTGGGTTTGAGCAGAGGCCGCTCGGCTTCGCTCAGACGCTGGCGAGAGAGAATCCGCAAACAACCTCACAGCTGCCCGGCGTCTGCTCGGGAAACATTATGACAATAAAGTTCTGTGAAATGTTGGTTGAGGCAAAACTGTGCAATCAGTTTCAATGCTAATCTGGCCCGAGGTCAGCGCGCCGGAGAGAAGTCCACGTTCTCACAACATGAGAAATTCACACCAACAGAATCCAGTTTCCCATTCATCAGCGAGGTCGTCCAGAAATACAAACCTCGAGAGTCACTCAACCTCCGTGAGGCGGAAGGAAAAGTGAATAATAGACGCTGTTCTACTTTGTCTTCGCATGAGGGATGTGATTGACTGTAAATAACTTCCTGTCCCATCATGCTCTTCTCCACGCTCAGCGTCTACGTTCCCAGCTGATCTGGGAACAGCCAACACTGAGCCCAACCAGGTCAGACACATCTCACCAATTTCACTGAGTTCTACTGACGGCGTCTGCCGGGCCACATATGGGTCACTCCCAAATGAAACGTTTAGCATTTTTAATGTTTCACGTTTATTGAGCATTTTTATTGTATAACTTGATAAGTGTGGTTTTACGCAGATGTACGTGATGAATAATGTATTTTTAAAAAGACTATAGATCAATGTAACGTCTCTCTGGAGCAAGGTGCCGTATAAATGAAGTGATGATGGTGAATTCACAGCCTCAGACGTTGGATCAGGTTTAGTTTCAGGATAGTGTTTGTCCTCGGAGGTTGTTGTTGTGTGCAGCCCGTCGGCCACTTGTTCTCTCTCCTCCGGTGATGACATGAACACCCGAGGGTCTCTGCAGGCTACGACCCTCCGACGTCCGGCGGTGCAGTCGACGTGTGAGGTCACATCCCGACCTCCACCTGTGAGATTCATCACAGATGACTCACACGGTGACGGGTGACGATCCGCCTCCTCCACCGTGTTGAGAACCAGCACAGCTGCTGCAGGTGAGCAACCATCGTGGAACAAAAGAACTACTCTCCTGTTTTTTTTAAACACATAACTCTGCAGCTATTACCCAGCATGCACCACAGTTTCAGGACCAACCCCCCCTCCGGGCGCTCTGACGCCGTTATATCATCCGTGTGTGATGTGCAACGCCTTTGTCATCAACTTGCTGCACCAACTTTTTCCTCATCTGCTTCCACTCCACTCAGTGGATCCCTGCGTTTTCCCAGAATGCCTTTCAACAGCCCCCAGAGAGTGGGCGTGAACCTGTTGATTTGGCTGCGAGGTGGGCGTACACAGACACACAAACAGCTTCAGAGTGTGATCACTCAGCTGTGGGGTTATACGCATCTGTAATCGCTGCTGTGCCCCTCACTCGAACGCAACACGTCCCGTGGCAGCGCTGCGGTCTGGTCTGTGGAGGCTGCTGTGGTGCACGATGCTCGCTCGCTCTCTCCCTCTCTCTCTCTCTCTCCCTCTCCTCCTCTCACCCTCACGTTAAACTGTGGAGCTTTAATTCCATTAACGCACATTTCTGACGATCAAACCTTTGATCAGCTTCTCGAATGAAGATTTGCTGCTTTTCTCTGTTTTGTTGCTTTGATTCATTTTCGTCTCGTTGGTTTTCAGACTCTTGATTTGACTGAATACGTGATTTCTATATATTTGACGAGCTATTGGAAGCTCACGGACATTTTTATAAACTATAAATCTGTCCAGATTCATTAGTAATGAAAATAATCCTTTGCTGCAGCCACAACAAATTACGTGTAAACTCATGAAATCATGAGTTTGAGCTAAAGGTTCAGCACAGAAAACATATTTTTAACATACTGCACTACACCACATACTGTATTTCAGATTTCTCTGCTGTGTTGCACTCCTCATCAGTCTTGAAGTGTTCTTATATAGTTCTGATTTATTCTACTCTTTCTGTATTTGTGCTGCTGTAAAACCAGAATGTTTGATTTCATACTAATATAAAACCTGTTTGCTTTGTATTTTACTTCCTGTTACATTTGAGTTTGGTCTTCATATAAACCACGACTTGTTTCTACTACACTCCACGTGCACTTTGACCTTTCGTTGATGTATTTTGTATTTGTTGTTTATTCACAAGTTGTGTGAAATAAATTAAACTGAACTAATGAATTTCTCCTTCGAGGTCAATAAAGGAGTTTCCATCTTATCTTAAACTCGAGGGACGTTGCTACAAGCGTCTGGATGTAATGTGAAAAAGTTATTTCAAGCCACGTTCGTAAACAAGTGGTTTTTACATCGATTATTTCAATCCTCCGGAAAATGCATCGAGCAAAACTTCCAGCGTCCCCACAGCGACGAGGAGCTGATTTTCTCTTTGGCGTCACTTCAGTTAATATTTGAGTTTTGGTCGACTCTATTTAAAAACATCAAGCTGGGCTCACGGACATTGTGATTTATAGACTTTCCAATAAACTGCTTACGGCCAGAATACAAACAATTATCAGATGAATCCATCCATCGATTATCTCTGAATCAATAATGAAAAATAACCGTCGGCTGCCGTCGTACATCAGTGTCAGAAACGTCTCCTGCTGCCGAGACGTTTAATCAATTAATCACGTATCAATTAAAAGTCAAATACTTTGATTATCAATTCATTCTTTGGATGGTTATTGAGCAGGAAAGCTGTTTCTGTTTCCACTTTGTCAAATCTGATCAATGTGATATGTTGACAAATGGAATAACTTTGGTAGTTATTAGCAATTAGTGATAGTTCGTCCTCTATTTTCATAAAGTGACGGATTCAGCCTCGTTGCGGTTCTGCTTCGATCAGTGAAACGTTTCCTGTGCGTGTTCGTAACGTCTCACGATCGTGACGTGCTGGTGTTGGATCACGTGTTTTACAGATTTGTCGCTCTTGCTGCAGGTGAAGCGCCTGAACGTTGTGTGACACACGACAGGAAGCTCTGACGTTCCCTCACTGTCGGAACCCGCTGAGGCCGATGTACTGAAGGTGTGCGGCTCTGAAAACATCCTCAACCACACATGCAGCCCTGCAACCATATGCAAGGTGATATCATCCACAAACACTCACCTACACAGAACACCTACACACACACACACACACACACACACACACAGTTAGGTAAGGCTACCCAGCACCTGTGAGCTCATGAGGCAGCAGTGTTAGTTTGCAGTGTTTCTGCATTAGCATTCATGAGGCAATTATTTGCTCATGCAAGATGCAGCCGCATGTGTGTGTGTGTGTGTGATTTGTGTTTTTCTGCATGACTCTAATGTTGCACACACACAAACACACTCATATGCACGCTCACAAAAACACACAATCACCCCCCCTCTCTGTTTTTTAGGTGCAGCTGCATGTGTGAGTGATGCTGCTGCATCACAGTGACACACACACACACACACACACAATGGGAGGGTTCGTGTTGCATTGTGTCGAGGCGTGTCTGTGTTGTGTTGTATGTGATGCATGTGTGTATCTGCAGAGGAGAGAGTCCAGCGTCATGATGAAACCTGTTCGCATGTCCACACACACACACACACGGACACACACACACGGACACACACTGCAGCATCCACAGCAGCGAGAGAAAAAGGCAGTAAAATGACCTGTGGTGTGTTTCACGCAGCTCCACGCGGAGGAAGCCGCTGATCCCGCAGACGCAGCCGCCGTCACCATGTTCCACCTTCGAAGAGAAGAAACATCAGCGCGTGAATTCAGCGGCTGAGACAATGAGCCGCTGCGCCCTGACGCGCACCGACGCCCGTGACTTGTCATCATCCAACGCTTACAGACATTTTCCTCTCGTGTGACTTCCACACGCGCCGCTTCCGTCCAGCATCTTCACGCGTCTCGTTAACAAACGCACCGCACATGGATGCGTCAACACCGGTTGGATGTTACGCGTGGATCCAACTCCGGCTCATTTTTACGCATCTTCAATAAACGCGTGAAAGGAGTTTTTTTTTTTTTTTTACCTGTTGTCTCGTTGGTCGTCGTCTCCTCGATGCTAACGCGTTTCTCCGGCTGCGGCAGGAAACGCGTCTCCTACATGTTTCATTGTAATTCCGCGTCTGGAAGAGGAAACGGACTCAGCCGCAGTGACGCGTCGCTCGATGTTCGTCTGCGGCGCAAAGATGGAAACAGCAGTGACGCAAAGAGGAATTCGTATAAAACCTGTGAAAACAAAAAAAAAAAGAGACGCCGCACATTTAAACACGCGGAGAGTCACTTGTGCGGGCTCGTCACGCACGGCAACGCAGCTCAGACTGAGGCTGCTCTCTCTCAGGTCCGCTGTTGCTCCTGGGGGGGCGGGGTGGTGGTGGTGGTGGTGGGGCACCTCGCGCACTGATTGGACGACGCGCTTTACATTCCTCAAGCGCTGGAAGCGATCGACCAATCAGGGCGCGGCCCCGTCACGTCCCGGCGTCTGATTGGTCGAGACGCGTTCGAACGCCGTCGGAAAAATTCCCTGATGCACGCGCACCTGACCGTGAACGTGGCGCAGAGTTCACCAGGGGGCGTTAGCCCTGATTTGTTATTCATTCGCTCACCAGGTAACATTCCATCAGCAGTTCTCCATTCAGTCACAGGTGGCGCTGTGCACGTACTTTATATAAACTTTATTTTAATCAGATTCAGGTGAAACGATCTGTTCGCAGAAACTTCGTCTAAATTACACAAATCGTTGCTTTTCCCTTTATATTCAAATACTTTATATTCGAATACTTTATGTTCGAATACTTTATATTCAAATACTTTATATTTACATCGGGAGCGGGTCCTCTCTACGGAGGCCGCCATGTTTTTTACAGTAGCCCAGACTGGACACACTAAACGTCTTCTGAGTTTCCATGACAACTGCAGCCGCCACAGGTTCTCTGTCTGTGTTCAGCTGCGACATGACACTTCACCACTAGGTGTCACTAAATTCTACACACACTTATCAAACCAATGTGTCGCTGGCCGTGTTCTGTTTCAGCTCCTATCATGATCCCGTTTAGTTTCAATCGACATCTCTAAGAGGCGTCAGTAGCAGATCTCCGACAGCTCCGCACTGTTTCTACAGCCGTAGACAAAACACAAATCTTTGTGTCGATTACAATATATTAATAACGAGGTATAATTACATGAAACTAGTACACGTTGTGGTTTCTTTACCTTCACATGTACACATTCATGTAAATATCAATGCACTGACCACAAATGATCCGTCAACGCGTTTCAGCTCAGGAGCGTCGGAGCTTCGCGGAAACACGACGTCATATAAAGTTTATACCTGCATCTTCACAGCCTCGTCTGTTTTCATGATGATATTTTATTTTGCTAAATAATGAGGACTATGGTCCAGAACTGCGTTTATCAACAAATCAAGTTTTTGTGTATTGGTGCTGTACTGTCCCTCGGGAAGAATACACCAGTGTACGGTGTGTGCAGCAGTGTGTTGTTCCCCACTGCACACGCTGATGTGTAATTATCTATTATGGTAATTGTCTTTACCAGATTAATACCAGACTAATAAACATTGTGTGAACGCTCTCCTGTGAATAAAAAGCAGTTTAGGTGCTGTTGCCCCCCCCCCCCCCTCCATGTTGAATGGCTGCTTGATGAATGGGAGTTGAGCGGGAAGATGGGGGGGGGGGGTTGCAGAAGCTCCAAGTGATAATGCGGTGTCATCAGTTACCTTGACAACCGCGGCTTCTACATCTAACGTGTTAATTATGATTTTTTTTTTTTTTGTGCCAGGAAATTAGCAGAGGCTTGTTCCCTGTTCTTGGCCGAGCCGCTGCAGCTCCGGCCGCTCGCCTCCATTACTCACTGCTGACTCCAACAACAAGACAGAAAATGTAACATGCTAATCTCTCCGGCACTCTGCCTCCAGTTCTGGCTTCTATCCCCCCCCCCCCCCTCGGGCGTGCACCATCTCCGCCCTGCAGACGCAGCATTAACTGCGATTTACAGTTCTGTTTAATTTATTTGCATCATCTTGGTCCAAATGACGGGGAGATGAAATCAGCGGTTGGAACACGACCGTTGTAAAATGCATGGATGAGCGCTCTCGCTCCAGCTGCAGCAGACATGTTGGTTTTGGAAAACGCTCACACTGGTCAGTGGAAAATAATGGATCAAATCAAAGTGGCCTCACAGGTCAGCAGGAAACACCGTCGAGCGTTTCAGCCTCTTCGGAGCTTCGCTCTACATCGTCGACATCGTCCTTATTATGCTTCGATCCAGTTTCACCGTCGTTCAAACATTAGGAGTTGTGTTGTCCTCGTGTGATAAATGTTCCTCTGCGGCCGACGTGAAAATAGATTCACTTTGAGCTCTTCATTTATTCATGTTTATGCAAATGAATACTTTATTTAAAGGCGTAACGTGTCCCACGGTTTCTTCTGCACTTGAATAAGTACAACCAGGATATTTCTTACTGTAGAATCCTGAGTCTCTCAGCACTGTTGGATCTTTTTGTCTTAATTGGTTCTAAAAGTGATGAATATAGTTTAGATTCTTAGATTCTCCTGATTGTTTTTAATCCGTCCAGTAGTTTTTGTGTCATAAACTAACGCAGATGAAAACGTAACCTTACGTGAAACAGGACGTGACCAAACTGAGGTCGTGACCTCTGTGTCCTCCGTGGCTCATGTCGTCCACGTTTTGTGTCCTGAGCTGTTTGATGGATTCTGTCCAGAAATGTAGATTTTACTTTTGTTTTGTTGTTTCAAATATCTTTAACGGTCAAAGATCCGAAGCGCGCTCACATAAATATTCGTGTCGACTCAGGTTGAATCTCCGCTTTCGGTCCGTTTTCGTGCAGCTGAATATTTTATCAGAGTCCGTAGGTTTGGAGTGGAGAGACTGGCGCTGACCTGAGTTCAGCAGGAACCGCAGATGGAGAAGCTACATGTTGGTCTCTGCAGAAATAGAGTTGGCAAAATCTGCCCAAACGTTTGCCAGCTGTTCCTTCACCACAGACGACTGGTGATCTGCTGTAACGTGCTCTTCACAGGGACGCACTCCGCACAGTGGATGGAAAATATGATTAGTGTCATCTGAAGGTCAGAAAAGCTTCCTGCGGGTAGAATAAGAGGAGAACGGTGATGTGGGTTCAGCCTCAAGCATCAATAGATCAATACCTTCACTGAATCACTTCACCACAGGAGATCGATATTGAGCATCACGCTGAATTAATCATTTATTTGGTTTTGTCACCTGAGCGAACGTGAGGAGATTCTGTTTTGTTTTCGGAGCTCGATGTGAAACCTTGAATCTGCAATCGATCAGAAATCATTGAAGGGAAACTGATCCCAGAACAGTTTCAGTTTACGTCAGAGACAGAGGACACTTCCTGACCTGAGAGTCCGAACCGAGCTTCACGTGTTTGTTAGTTTCACAGAATGTTGTCTGACGTACGTGCGCCCTGTCGCCATCACATCAACAGATGAGCGTCCGTATCGTTCAAGCATTATTTTCATCATCACTGTTGACGATAATGTGGGAAGAAATCCAATACTCTTTAAATCTCTTATTGTGGTTCAGACAAAACTGAAACGATAAAAGGTTCGAACCAAACGAGCCGTGGAAGAAATTAAAACTTGTCTCAGAAAAATCCAAGAGTTCACCTTGAATGGCAAAAAAAAAAAAAAAAGAGTTCTGTGATTACCTCCATCCATCTTCCTCTGCTGATCCAAGGTCAGGTCACAGCCGGGGGTTCCAGATGTCCCTCTCCGCAGCTTTGCTCCCTCCTGGGGGATCCCGAGGCGTTCACAGGCCAGATGGGACATGTAGTCCTGTAGTTCTGGGTGTAACTCTGGGTCTCCTTCCAGGAACCGCTCTTTCCCCAGCAGCTCTACTCCGAGCAGATGTCTGAACTCCTCAGGCCCCCCCCCCCCGCTCATCTTTTATCTGCAGCCTCATGCTTTCAGTCACTACCAGGAAGTCATGACCGCAGGAGAGGAAATAGATCAGCTGGTAAAGTGGAAGCTCGGAGGAAATGATCGGTGGGTCGGGGAAAAACATTGTGGGTCTCAAAGAGTCTCAATGATATCTAATGAGATTTGTTCTGGAATGTAGAGCAAGACAAAGGGTAACTGTCTTCATAAAAAAAAAAAATAAAGGGTTTGTGTATTTGTGTTTTTTTTTTCAGCTCAACACAGGAAAGGGTCAGAAATAAAAAAATTAAAAAAGTGTGAGGCACAAGAATCTGTTTAGTTTGTCTTAGAGCGTCTTCTGGAGAAGAAACCAGCAGAGAGAGCTTCCAGATCCGCAGCAGAGATGTTTGAAAAAGATGCTTCTGTGAGCAGAGCAACAACAGAGAGCGGAAAAAAGAGAAAACGCTTGTTCATGAGCAAAATTAGAGCGTGTGGAGGAGGAAGACGTGGCCGAGCAGAGATGATTCAGAGGGGGCAGCGGCATGTGAGGTGCTTCTAGAAGAAATGAACCTTTAATGATCCCCTGGGGGAGTCAGTCCGACCGACAGCCGAGGATGAGGAGGGACTGCTCTGATTAGACGAGGAAGGTCAAACTCCTGGGTCCCCCCCCTTTCTGGACTCAGGGACAAGGAGTGGAGCTGATGTCAACACGTGTGTGTTCCTGAACCATACGTGTAATTAGCGTGATCTATTTTTTTGGTAATCGGACGTCGAATATGCACCAACTTCACTTTCAGCAGAATCAGCTTCACATTGTGGGAAATATGTTTCATCGATTCCGATTCACAACCTGTGCGTCCATTAAGGAGATTAGCGTAGCTTAGCATAAAGACTGGAAGCTAAGGGGAACTCCAGCCTGATACAATGACAAAAAAAACCTTGTTAACTGAAATTCTCAACAGAACGAAGAGATAAATATCTTCAATGGGGAAAAATAAATTCAAAAACAATCGGATGGAATCATCTCCGCCGGTCGAGGTCGTTCAGTCCTGGAACTCGAAGGCAAAACCAGGAGACTTTCTGTTGATTGTTCCTCTGAGGAAGTCACGGCCCCGTTTCCTCTCATGAAGCTGCTCGAAGACGCTGAGGGAATTTCTGAAGCTGCAGCTTTCGCAGTAGAGCAGCTGTGCGGCGCCTCCGGCAGTTCAGAGTCTGATGCCGGGGAAGCACGGGGAACTTTCTCTGGGCATTTTCCAGAGTCCGCTCCAGCACCGCGCCGCTCGTTTCTATAGTAACATGTATGAACGGATGAGCATCAAGGCGGCAGAATGTAGGACAAAGGCAAGATGGCGTCCGCCTCAACGCTAACACTCGTTTGTTAGAGGATGAGAGGAGGAATATTTAAATGTTGGTGTTTTCAGGAGTTGTGTATTTTGGCAGAGTAGATGAGTCCGTTCGACTCACAACGAAGAACCGGTCGAGTCCGAAACCTGTTGAGTTTGAAACAAAACATTTTCATATAAATACTCAGACAATAGGAACAAATCTTCTAATGCTTCAAATTCAAGGACGTTTCTTCAGAAAACGCATAAAAAACATCGTCTCAGTTCCTGTTGTTTCCTCCTCCCCCTCATCGAGTTCAGCCTTTACATCACTTCCTCCAGGGCGGGGGGGGGGGTGAGTGACGCTGCAGCGTTGCTCTCAGTGGTCGACCTGCCAGACCTCAGTACAGTCAACAGACAGGGATGAGTCAAAGTGTCCTCGGGCCAGCAGAGAGTGCGTCACTCTCGCACATGGGCGCACACACACACACACACACACACACACGCAGAGGTACCGACGTCGTCCAGTAAAATCTCCAAAACGAGGCGTTGAGTTCAGTCGAGAATCTAAAGATCTTGGAAAGTTTTAAAATCAAACTTCTTCACGGGTCCTGAATATTTTGGTCTCAGACGTGAACAAGAGTTCTAATCATTTCCACCTGTGGTCACCTGTCGTCAGGAGGCGTCTCCAGACAAGTTGACGTCCCATCAGTGCCACATGCTCGGTCAGTGACCAGCTGTCAATCAGGATCAGAAACACCTGGACAAACATCAGTGAGATGAGAACGAGCTGAAATGAGAGAAACCTTCTCTTAGAGATATTCATTTGACTTCTAATTAGATTGTCTAGTTCGATTCATGTCCCATCTGCGAACATGGAGCCAGCCACCAGGGGGCGATCGAGATGATTTAGCTCCACTTTTGTGAGGCGCCACGTCGTCCATCTTTATTGACAGGTTTTAAAACAGGAAGTGTACACACCGTGTCATACGTGTGTGAATAAAACACTTCCTGGTTTCATATTGACCCCGATGTCCGACCCACACGTGACCCGACGAAAAACAGAATCTGGAGTTTGAACAATATCAAGATTTTAGAATATTTTCAGTTTGTGATTCCGTCAAAATATCTGTAACATTAGATCCGAAGCGTCCGAAGACACACGGCTGCACACGATGAACACAATTAAACCTCACTGCTCCGACTGTCTGTACAGATTTTACACCCCCACCCCCCGCGTCAGTAAAATGTCCACACTTTGAGACGCGAGGACAGAAAATGAAAAGAGGAAAACATCTGCGGGCGCTGACCTGGGTTAAGTCATGTTGAGATGTGTCGAACACGCAGCCAGTCATCCAAGAACAGCGAGCGAGAGCGAGAAGCCTGAGCAGCCGTCACACGGACAAACAGCTCAACACGAGCATATGGTGGAACACGTCCATATGTCGGGCTGCAGTTTACATGAGGTAAAAGCGTGCGAGGAGTAAACAAGGCGTCGCTCAGGCTCCGCAACATGAAAGAGGAGAAATAAGTGGGTCGCCCAGAGGTGAGGGGTGTGTGTGTGTGTGTGTGTGTGTGTGTGTGTGTGTGTGTGTGCGCCCTTTAGCAAAAACCCTGAACCCCTGGTGAAGCTGTGACGGTGTGAAAACCATGTGTCTTAATAAATGAGTCCTGGGTTTTATTTCCTGCTACTTAAGATCTTTTTTTTTCTTATTTATCTGTTTTATAACTTTCAACACGTCGGAAAATAAAGAACGTCTGATTTTAACCTCGCTCAACTACAAGGCGGACATTTTGTTTTCAGGGGCCACTGTTAACTGTAAACAAAGATGGACGACACGACAGTGAAGACAAAGCGTTTTCGTTTACTCAGTTCGGTCCACGTCCCATCCACTAACATGGAGTCAGGGTTTGTTTCATGAATGTCAAATCAAATAGAATCATAATATTTGTTGTTGTGCGTTAACGTTGTGTGTTTGTTCTCCCACTAAAAGTCTTATTGTTCCATCAACCTGCAAACGTGAACATTGTGTTTTGTGTGTTCGACATCGTGAGAGTTTCACACAAACCACAGCAACAGCCCGGTTTTCTGAAAAGTAATTATTTTAATATTTTACAATCCTTTATTCATGGTTATTTCATTATTTACTTTTTCAGCGGCACTTTGTAAGTGTCATTATTTCATGCTGTCTTACGACAACAACAAACAAAAGAGGAAAAAAAAAAAAAAAAACCCAACGGAGAGGTTTGAAGGAGGAGTCTATACAACACTTTTGTCAAAGGGGCAGAGAGAGAGATTCACATTTGGGCTCTCGATCGACCTCTCGACCCTTACGCTTGTCAAAAAGGTAAACAAAAGGTTAAAAGCAGGACTGTGGGTCAGGTGTCGAGTCGTCTGTGTCTGTTCGGCTATAAAAACAAACCACGCTCCTGTTGAGAGGATCTTTAAAAACAACAGGGTCCTCGTCCTCCTCTGGGATTTTAAACGCTTTTCCCCGTCTCTGAAAAAAGGAAAAATAATATACAAACTACCACAGATAATCCAAAAAATACAAAATATAAAGATGGTCTCTCGTCCAGGTGCTGCTCCAAACAACGGAGGAAAATATGTTTGTTTTTTTTCTTCAATTTCTTTTCTTTTCTTTTTTTTTTGAAAAAGCTTTTGGTGAACGAAAACAGAAACTGGTGAGAGAAGCGAAGGAGAGAAACGCTCGTGAGAATTATCCCGAATGAAAATGTTGGTGCTGGTCTGTTTGCGGAGGATTATTTTGTTGTTGTTGTTGTTGTTGTTGTTGTTGTGCTGCGGCGCCGGAGCTGCTGGCGGATACATTTCCTCATAAAATGATCTATGACATACTTCCTGAGAAACAAAGGAAATATCTACCTGGCGTTGAGAGAGGAGAGGAGGAGGAGCTGAGAGCAAGAGGAGGAGAAAACTGAATTAAAAAAAGAAAATAAGCTGCGGAGAGTTCGGCAGCAGGGAAAACGCCCGATGGTGGCAAGAACTGGACAGAGTGTGTGTGTGTGTGTGTGTGTGTGTTGTCAGGCTTTGTCAGACGCTGCAGTGTGTGAACGTGGAGGACGCAGGAGGAGGTGTGGGCATCAGTGCTGGTGTTTGTGCTCTTCAGCACGGAGAGAGGGAGGAGGAGGAGGAGGAGGAGGGAGACGGAGGACAAACTGTCCATCCAGCTGCTGGTGGAATCAAACACACGACGCTCACACGGATCACTGCTGGAGCTTCAGTTGTTAAAGGATCAGTTCACACAAATTACAAAAAATAAAACCCTCTCGTTCATCGAAAACCAAATTATGTTTTTTCTGCCCCGTTGGTGGATGTGAAAAAAAAAAAGAAAAAAAAGAACGTGAGACAGAGGAGATGTTGGAAAACGTTTGAACGATGCTGATGATGCTTGTTGCCGAGAGTCAGACGAGACGTTCGATTCCGGTATCGATCGTTGTCATTGGACTCGGGGAGAAAGCGGTCGTGCGTGTTTCCTGTTTTAAATCTGTTTCAGGAATTGAGGCAAAATAAGAAGTTGATCTTCCTCAGTCGTGGAGGAAGTGTGAATTTAAAAAAGCTCGACTGACACCGTTCAGATTAATCCCGTCTTAATCTTGGATTTTGCTGCCGTGAGTAATTTTAGAATTTTAGTTTGAACCACACGTCTGAGATCAGGTGCCACGTGACGTCATGTTTCTGATGAATTTCTGTGACACTGGCGGCTGAATACAGGCAAATAACCAAAAACTGTTTGTGCTCCTCAGAAGAATAACCTGAATACATCTTCACTTCACAGGGAACTGACAAAGAGGAAAATGTGTTTGTTATATAATTTGAGTGAACTGACCCTTTAACTTAACGAACGCTCTGAGCGGCTGATGCTCGTAAAAGCTCGAGGACCGAAACGTGGAGGTTCAACTTAAATTCCGAAATCTACAAATCCTTGTTTTCTGATCCCTCTCCTCTAACGGTGACGTAACACTGCCCACCGGGTAAAAGCCTGTTACTACCGACACCTCGGCGGCTCTGCTGTCACACTCCTCCACGTTAACTGGATGGGAGGAGGCAGGGCGGGATATTTTTAGACGCCACGGATTCACAAAACGAACCGGCCACTTTTACCACTTCACACGAACACAACAACAGAGCCTCTGAAAGATACTTTAGAGAGTGAGGCCTGTGAGCCGCCCACGACCAACCTTCACCCACGCGTGATTGTGTTTCTGACTCCGGCCGCTGCCGACCGAACACCAGCCGGAGTCGGTGAAACGCCAGAGGAGGCTTCAACAGGGGAAAGATCCGTTTCTTAAGCTGCTTTCAGACACGAACCGCTCCTTCACACGTCAGAGACAAATGTCGGGACACGATGTTCATGTCTAAAGACAGCTTTAGGTTCATGAGCGATGAAGCTTAATAAGTTGTTGTTGAAGCAGCTGGAGGAGAAACTTTTCACCGCCGCGTTAGTTTTAGTTTGGCAAACGTGTTTGTTCAAATTGTTGTTTCCACGGTTGTTACAGGTTCAGGTTATTTTAAAGTCGGTTCACGTCCTCGCTCATCGTCTTCTCCTCCATCCACACTCGATTTAAAAAAAAGCCAAAGTCACATTTGTCACCTGCGTCAGTCCAAAGTTTGAGATGCTGCAGCACCAATTTATGTTTGTGGTCCGGAGCCTCGACGCAAGCTACGTCTTTAGTCGGTTTAGAAACAGGACGAAGCCTCGACTGTACGAATTGTTATCTTTGGTTCTTCAGGGGCAAATGCAAGCAACAGCTTTTAAAGCCAAAGCAACAGAATAACACAGAGAGGGAAAAGCACGTGGTCGTCAGGATGTCAGGTGTGATTTTCGTTTTTTTTTTTTTTATATGCCAAAACAAAACAAAGTCTTCGTAAAGAAAGTTCCAGTTCAGGAACAGATGGAAATAAAAGACCTGATGGTGGAGGAGGAGGAGGAGAGGGTGGGAGGATGAGGCCGGGTTGGAGGGTCAGAGGGAGGGACCGGTGTCGCCCTGCGGCCCAGAACGTTTCCTTTCCCCAACACCAAGCTGAGGTCACAACCAGGAATGTCAGCCACTGGACCGCCCGTTTTTGTTCGTTCAATTATTCGCTAATTTTTCCCTCCGTCCACGTCCCGTGCCTCTCTCTCGTTCTCAGATGTCCGCCCGTCTGTCCTTCCACATTTCTCTCCGCAGGTCACTGGAGGTCACGGTCTTCTAGGTACCGGTACTCAAATGTGAAACCCTCCTTCTTCCGCTGGCCCCATTTCTCGTAGTCAAAGTAAATGTACGTTCCCTGAAGTGAAACAGAAAAACACAATGACACAGGGTTCCCTCTTCACCTACGTCTGAGAATTGAACCGATGAATGGGACAGGGTAGTTCCCCAATGCGCTACAGGTGATCATGTGTTCACAGGGTTATTTTAAACATCCAGAATCTAATCACTTCATCCTTCAGTCAAAATGAACATTTGTGCCAATTCTGAAGAAATTCCCTCAAAGTGTTTTTTTTAAGAAATCGTTTTCACAAGGATCGGACAGACGGCGCGGAGACAGGGAAACATAACGAGACGCGAGATTAAACCTGGGAACATTCTGTTTGCTGAGACACACGTCAACACTTCAACCGTGTGGCACTGACCTGCTCAAACTCGTCAGTTATGGTCTTGGGTTCTTCGTGCCTCTGAAACCACATCATGTACTTTGTGTGGAACCTCCACGACTGCTTCTTCAGGGCTTTGGCTGCCAGATACTGGGCCTTAGTGCCCTGGACACAGGAGAGGAGGGAGGGGACGGAGAGAGGAGGAGGCAGAGGATGGAGAGAGGAGGAGACAGACGGCAGCAGAGAGGAGGAGACAGACGGCAGCAGAGAGGAGGAGACAGACGGCAGCAGAGAGGAGGAGACAGACGGAAGCAGAGAGACGTTAACTTCATTAAACAAAGTGATGGAGATAAAACAGGTTCTTTATGTTCTGTAGATTTAAAAGAAAGTAATCCTGAGTTTTGCATCGTGATGTCATGATGCCCCCTTTCATTTACATAATGCATGCTGGGTAAGAGCAGAGGCCGACATGCAGCAACGGACATTGTGAGGATAGCGATGTCTCCTTTAACGCTTCTGCTTTGATTTAGAAAAGCAACTAAAAACCTGAATGTACTGAGAATACTCTTTTTCCACATTGAACTTTCTCTCCCGTGCGTCATGTTGCATCATCAGTCGGTTTAGTGATCCCACAAACCTCCAGGTAGTAAAAGATGAAGAAGAGGGTCTCCGTTGAAAGCCTCTGGTAAAACTCTACAGTGTCGGAGTGGGGCGGTGGCACCTGGTGGTGGAAAGGCAGGGTGGGGCAGGGGTTCCTCATCAGGTACTGCCTGAAATACAGAGGAGGAGAGGGAGGCCGTCAGTGGGGGACACAACGGGGGGAGGAGGAGGCAAAGTGAGACAACTGTAATGTGCGATATGAATAAATATAATGATTGTTATTAAGAATAAATAAAACAAGAGTCCGGCATTTTATTATTTTTCTCCTCTAAGAATCTTGTTGAACTAAAAAAGGTGTTGACCCCGTCATGTGACCTGAAGTAACGAGCCGGATGGAAACCATCGACTGACCCTGATGAATCCGCACAAAGTAGGAAAATTCACCAGTGGGTCAAACGCTCTGCTCGGACGCTGTTTTCCATCTAAACCTTGTATTTTTAGATCCGTGACACGTTTTGTCTTTTTTGTTTCCACTCCACGTGTCCCTGTCCCGAAACAACTACCGACCGCGTCAAACAAAGAGGACGAAACTGGACAATCTGAAACACGCAGGTTACTGAAATGATTAACTTTACTGAGACGAGGTGAAGATTAAAGCACGTGACAGTGGATTATAGATATTGGTCTTTATTTAAACGTCAACGTCAGATGCTTGTTTTCAACACTAGAAAAGGAGAAGTGTGTGTTTGTGTTTGTGTGTTTGTGTGTGTGTGT